TTTAAATTGTACTAAATTTAGTACACATTCATATACATTTCCAAACCCGTGATCAAATTTCATGATCCCAGCTCTATCGGTTCACTCCGATCCATTTTTTGTACCTTACATACTTAGCTGGCTTGTGACAGAACTTTCGTTCCATAAGCCGAGCGTAAAAAAGATTTCCAAGCACGTCGGTCTTTTGCGCAGTTTTTCCAATTTGAAAGACCATATTCGGCAATGTTGTCATCCACTTGGTCTTTCCATCTTATTCGCAGCCTTCCCCTTCTGCGTGAAACATCAGCTGATTCGCTATTATATGCCTTCTGGGCTGGGCCATCTTCATCCATTGTCACAACATGACCTAGCCAACGTAATCGCTGCAGCTCAATATGTACAACTCATGGTTCATTCGACGGCGATATTCACCGTCAACGCAGATCGGCCCATAGATCTTTCGGAGAATTTTTTCTCAAACACTCCAAGAGCTGCCTCATCAGCTTGCGCAAGTACCCATGTTTCAGATCCATATAACAGCACAGGTAGTATCAGCGTGTTGTAGAATGTGAGTTTGGTTTGGCGGGAGGTGGCCTGGCTTTTGAGTTGTTTGCTCAGACCATAGTAGCATCTGTTGGCCATCACTAACCTTCTCCGAATTTCAAAACTGATGTCATTCGTTTTGTTTATAGCGGTACCAAGGTATATAAAATCTTTGACTACCTCGAAGCTGTAGTTCTCAAGTTCCACAGTTGGTCCGAGTCTACTGGACGTCTTGCGCGTTGATACCATCAGCTTGGTCTTCTCGCCGTTTACTGCCAGACCCACTTTGGCAAACTCCTTTTCGATTTGTTACAGCTCTCAGTATTCGACACATTATGTCGATGTCATCGGCGTAGGCGAGTAACATGTCTTGTTTGGTGTACATATTGCAATTTCTGTTCACTTTTGCTTCTCGTATGACCTTTTCCAGCAGGATGTTAAAACGATCACACGACAAACTGTTACCTTGTCTGAATCCTCGGTTTTAAAGGGCTCTGAAAAGTCCTTTCCGCTGACCTTGTGCCACTTAAAGTTATCCTGCATAGCCGTATTAATTTTGCAGGAATGCCCAACGCAGACATGACTTTAAACACCTCTGAACGGATAAAGCTGTCGAATGCGGCTTTATAGTCAACGAATAGGTGAAATGTGTCGATATGTTTTTTGTGAGTTTTTCCAGGATTTGGCGCAGAGTGAAAATCTGGTCAACGGTGGATTTGCCAGGTCTGAATTCGCATTGATGTGGTCCAATAATGTCATTGACCATTGGCTTCAGTCGTTCACACGGTACGCTCGATAGCACTTTATATGCGATGGGAAGGAGACTTATTCCTCTATAGTTGGCACATATCGTCTTGTCTCCTTTTTCGTGCACGGGAGACAGGATGCTGAGGTTCCAATCATTGGGCATGTATTCCTCTAGCCAAATTGTACTAATCAGCTGGTGCATGCTCCTTACCAGCATCTGACCACCGGTTTTCAACAGTTCGGCAGGCAATCCATCGACACCTGCTGCTTTATTATTATTCAGCCGATTGATTGCTATTCTGACTTCATCTTGGCTAGGTGTTATACACTCTATAACGTCATCTATTATTGGTTCTGGGGTATCCTCTACACCGCAACTATTTGATACCAGAAGTTTTTCAAAATGCTCCTTCCAGATCCTCAGCATGCTATCTGTCACCAGGTTTCCTTCTTCATCTCCACAGGAAAATGTGCCTTAGGTTTGGTGTTTTAGCCGTTGAAAGAATTTTCGGATTTCATTCTGACTCCTGCACATCTCGATTTGCTCACGCTCACGTTTTTCTTGTTCTTTCTTCTTTCTGAAAATGCGTTTACCCTCTTTCCTTTTCTCCCGATAGATCTCATTACGTGTTGCTACTGTCAGCATTTCTGAAACTGAATCCTTACCCCAATCCTACACTCCAACAATCATCTTATTTCCAAATTTCAATGTTCCGGATCCTTCCGTTCACCCAAATACACTAAACGGCACTGGATTTGATACATAGTGCCGTTTAGTGCTTTTCGTAATCATAAACACGAATTTCCAAAGCAGTCTCTATAGCTCAAGCCTCAACAGCAATGTTTCAAATTTCAGGGTTTCAGATACATTCGTTTATTCAAAATTCAAATTGTACTTAATTTAGTACTTTCCGTACTAATAAGTACGAATTTTCTAAACTACCTCAACCCTACACCTCTACAGTCATTTAAATTCCCAATTTGAAGACTCCAGCTTTATATGTTCGCCTAAATCCAACTTGCACCAAGTTTAGTACCATTTAGTACTTTTCGTACACATAAGTACGATTTTTATACCCTGGTGATGGTATTAATCGACCGTGGCATCATTAAAGCCTTGGACACGCAAACATTTTGCCGGAGACCTTGGACATTCCAACAGGACTCAGCACGCGCCTCCCAAGAATGGTTACAAAATGAGGTTCCTCGCTTTATTTTTCAGCGCACAATGGCCACCAAAATCTCCGGATACCAATCCGTTGTTCTATTTTATCTGGAGTATTTTGGAAAGCATTGTTGCCACGAAAAAATACTAAAGTGTCGACCACCTCAAGCAAGCGCTTCGTCGGGAATGGGCCAAAATACCGCCAAGCAACATTCGGGCAGCGTGTGACGGTTTCATTGGCCGTTTGGAGGCCATAATTCGTGCCAACGGTGACCAAGTCGAACAAATCTAAAATTATTCGAAAATTTTATGCTATTTCCGACATTTTTTGCGTTCATTCAATAAAATTTAAAAAATGTAAAAATTATGGCGTTTGACTTTGTTGCAGTTTTTATACCCTTCACCACACTGTGGTACAGGGTATTATGACTTTGTGCATATGTTTGTAACAGGCAAAAGGAAACGAGATAGACACATGGTTCCTTTTGAGAATATGCATAGAATCACTTTCTAAGTCGATTTATGCATGTCCGTCCGTCCGTTCGTCCGTCTGTCCATGTTAAATTGTAAACAAAGTACAGGTCGCATTTATTATCCGAATTGGATGAAATTTGGCACAGCTAGTCTATTTGGCCCAAGAACGAACCCTATTTAAATTGGAAAAAATCGGTTCAGATTTAGATATAGCTCCCATATATATATATATATATATATTTAACCGATTTAATGTAAACGGTCCCTATATACCTTTCGATTTGCACGAAATTTGGTACAGTTTACTCATTTAGGTCTACAATTATGTCTGCCAAGTTTCGTGAAAATCGGTCCAGATTTAGATATAGCTCCCATATATAGTTTCGTCCGATTTCATGTAAATGGTGCACAAAAGTCGCTATATATCTTTCGATTTGCACGAAATTTGGCATAACGTACTGAGTTGAGCGTAGAGTGATGTCTGCCTTGTTTCGTGAAAATCGGTCCAGATTTAGATAAAGCTCCCAAATATAGCACCAAAGTCCATATATTTCTTGCGATTTGCACGAAATTTGGCATAACGTACTGAAATGAGAGATGTCTGCCAAATTTCGAGAAAATCGGTTCAGATTTCTATATAGCTCCCATATATTGTTTTGTCCGATTTGATGTTAATGGTGCACCAAAGTCGCTATATATCTTTCGATTTGCACGAAATTTGGCATAACGTACTGAATTGAGCCTAAAGTGATGTCTGCCTTGTTTCGTGAAAATCGGTCAAGATTTGGATATAGCTCCCATATATAGTTTCGTCCGATTTCATATAAATGGTACACCAAAGTCCTTATATATCCTTCGATTTGCACGAAATTTGGCATAACGTACTGAAATGAGCCTAAAGAGATGTCTGCCAAATTTCGAGAAAATCGGTCCAGATTTCTATATAGCTCCCATATACAGTTTCGTCCGATTTCATGTAAATGGTGCACCAAAGTCGCTATATATCTTTCGATAACGCACTGAATTTGGCATAACGTACTGAATTGAGCCTAGAGTGATGTCTGCCTTGTTTCGTGAAAATCGGTCCAGATTTAGATATAGCTCCCTTTTATTATAGATTGATTTTAAGTAATTGGCGCAGCAAGGAACCAATAGGCTGATAGGAACAAAGCGTTCTGAAATTACTATAACCTAACCTGTGACCTGTGTTTGTTTGAAATCGCTTAATATTTGGATAGAGCTTCCATATAATTTTTCGCCCGATTTCAAGTAAATTGGGCATCAAACTCCTCATGTAGTCAGATTGTCATCAAATTTTGCACAACTTACAAAATTGAGCATAGAATTACATAGATGTATTTTCTAGAAGTACAGACATAGCCCAACGGATGACCTATTTATATTTGTTTGAAGACGATTTACATACCTTATGGATATATCTAGGTAGATTCACATTTAGATAAATATCACATATTTTATTTAATCCAATTTTAAGTTAATAGTCCTGTTTAATATACCCATAGTGGTGAAGGGTATCATATAATCGGCCCCGTCCGACTTTACTACTTTCCTTACTGTTTTTTTTTTTTTTTTTTGAACAGTGCGCCTTAACAGTTTGCCTGCTGTAAGTCCCATTGTACGCAAAAGACTCTAAGTCTGGCCGAATGAAATTTGATAGGAACCATATTAGATAGGAAGTGATAGGAAACATATTTAGAGTATACCAAAGAGGTGAAAGGTGTCATATAGTCGGCCCACTCCGAATTTACTACCTTCCTTACTGGTTTCATTTATAAAAGTGCAATTTTACACATATTTTTTTCAAATGTTGAAAAAGCGTGTTTTAATGTATTTTTTAAGCAATTTTATTTTTTTCCAAACACAGCATTTTTCTCGTACATTTCAAACATATATTAACAATTATACTGAAAACTAAAACTACCACAAACAGCGATATGGCGAAAAACATGACAACATCGATATTATAAAATTGCCACGTATTCAGATTGTGTCCCAAATGGACGAGATGTGGGGCTCCGCTATGCCTCAAAACATATTCTATCCAATAAATTGCCGTCTGCATTGGTGTAGTCTATCTGTCACGGAATTGAAATGATTTTAGTTTTGCCAATTTCATATATTTTTCATTTTCCACAAGTTCAACTATGGCCTTATAGATTTCTTGGTCATGCAATGATTTTGCTGAAATTTTCAATGAAATTCCAGTACGGATTTTTTCCACAAAATTAAACATTTCACCAGTTGCAATGTGAGAACTTTTTAGGCCCAAAATCGGTATGCCATAGTGAATACTTTCGACAACACTTAAGTAACTACCGTGAGATATAAGTAATTTACAATTTGGATGGCTGAGAATACCGTCGTGCGATAAATTCCTAAAGAAATATACATTGCCGGGTACGCGCAATACTGCGGATGGATATTGGGGGGTATTCCATAATATCATGAGTTTTATCATGCCAAATTGATTCAAAACAATCTGCATCACATTATCTGGGAAATGTTCGGCCAAGGCAACATATATGAAACCTCCTTGGGTTTGAAGCATTGTCAGAATGTCTATGGGCAAGGGTTCAGCTACCTCGGGAATATGTAACCCGGCAACTTCAATCATATTTGGTACGTACGGCTTGGGTGTACTTATGGTGTGATGATCATTCAATAGAACCAATGATATATTCTTTTGCACCTGTTCCACAGTTTTAGTGGCATTTGGAAAACGAGATTGATAATATTTCTTGTTCATTGGCATAAATTCGTAATCATGAAACACTGTGGCAAGCACACACAGCACCACATTTAAATATCTCTCCAAAAAGCTCATATTTTCATCGTAACGATGGGCCATCATTAGACTCGGCACATACGAGAGAGGTGCAGAGTTTCGAAATAGACTATCTAGAGGGGAACTTGACCCGATGGTGGAAATGCCCACAATTGGTGCATTAAAATGTTGAGCTAGTCCATATAGCGATTCGGAGAACATTGAATTCCACAAAACCAAATCGAATGATTCGCTTTCCATCAGATCTCGTATTAAAGCATTGTGGAGAATATTGTCACACATTTGAAATCCAAGATTAAACATTGCGCCCGTGGTATTGAAATGGTCCAAACCAATTTCTTTACTTATTCCACGAGTTACATCTGTATAACAAGAAAAAATATATATATTTTTGTAAATATTATTTGTTTATCATACCACTGTGCAACTTACTTCTATTGAACTTAAAATTCTCTTCTATTGCAATTGAACGCAAATTTTTTACCTCTGCAGTTTGTGGAAAATTTGTAATGGACGTTACAGAATGGCCACGCTCAGCCAACTTAAGTAGAAGCGGTTCAAGAAATGCATATTGTGCTGGACCTTCAAAACCAAATATAGACAATATGCGAGCCGTTTGGCCCGCTTGTTTACCAATGAATATCAAAAATGCCACTAAAACTATAGTGAAGCGCATTTTTAGTTCAACTGAGCGATAATCGAAATCAATTTGAACATGTGTGTTTATCTACCGGCATTGTTGTTCACCGATAACGTTCAAAATCAATAAACCACTAACGTATTAAATATATTGTTGTAATTGTTGTTGTTGTTTTTTAATGTTTTTAGATAAAGTCAAAAATTGAAATTACAATTTTTTTATTAAATGGTCCCAGCATGGAGGCACACATACGGTTACTACCTTTAATGATACTAAAGTAATTAAAGAGGAAAATTACCATTTATACCCTACAGTACAGGGTGGTAGAGCCCGACTTGTTGTTCCTCGAGTCGATTTATGCATGTCCGTCCGTCTGTAGATATAAAATTGTAGACAAATCACAGGACGAATTTATACAAGAGATGTCTGGTTTCATAATTTTTGGAATCGAATGTTAAGATACAAAGGATAAAAACCGTTACAAAAATCGGTTTTATTATCAGAAAATCCGATTCCAAAAATTTGTGGATCCGGACTTGTTTTCCGTGTATAAAAATGTTTTGCCTTGGTAAAAGTTTATTCCTACCTATACAACTACACTTAAACAATCAGTTAATGGAATACATACCTCCAAGTTAATATGCCGATAACGGTATAATGTTCTTTCCAATTAGACTTCGAAATATTTCGAATTCCCATATCTGAAAGAAGACATAAAATATTTATTGAATTATTGATTTGAAGCATTATCGAATCGCAACGGATGCATCTAAATGACGATGTGTAATGTGAGGGGTATTTTGTTATACCCTTCACCACACTGTGGTACAAGGTATTATGTGTTTGTGCATATGTTTTGTAACAGGTAAAAGGAAACGAGATAGACACATGGTTGCTTTTGAGGATATGCATCGAATCATTTTCAGAGTCGATATATGCATTCCGTCCATCCGTCTGTCTGTCCATATTATATTGTAAAGAAAGTACAGGTCGCATATATGATCCGAATTGGATGAAATTTGCCACAATGACGAACCCTATTGAAATTGGGGAAAATCGGTTCAGATTTAGATATAGACCTATATATATATATATATATATAAATATGGGTCCGATTTAATATCAATTCTACACCAAATTCCCTATATATCTTTCGATATGCACGAAATTTGGTATAGCGTATTCAATTAAGTCTAGAATGACGTGTCTTAAGTTTCGTGAAAATCGGTTCAGATATCGATCCCATACATACTTTCGTCCGATTTAATGTGAATTATTTACCAAAGTTTCTCGCTTTGCTGGATGTTGCAAAATATATTCTTTTAAAAATCCACGCCTTGCTGGAGGTTGTAAAATATATTCTTTTAAAAATCCACGCCTTGCTGGAGGTTGCAAAATATATTCTTCAAAAATCCACGGCATGTTGGAGGTTCCAAAAAACATTCTTTAAAAAATCCACGGCATGTTGGAGGTTCCAAAAAACATTCTTTAAAAAATCCACGCCTTGCTGGAGGTTGCAAAATATATTCTTTTAAAAATCCACGCCTTGCTGGAGGTTCCAAAAAATATTCTTTTAGAAATCCACGCCTTGGTGGAGGTTCCAAAAATATTCTTTTAAAAATCTACGCATTGATGGAGGTTGCAAAATATATTCTTCAAAAATCCACGGCATGTTGGAGGTTCCGAAAAATATTCTTTTAAAAATCCACGGCACGTTGGAGGTTCCAAAAAATATTCTTTTAGAAATCCACGCCTTGGTGGAGGTTCCAAAAAATATTCTTTCAGAAATCCACGCCTTGGTGGAGGTTCCAAAAAATATTCTTTTAGAAATCCACGCCTTGGTGGAGGTTCCAAAAAATATTCTTTTAGAAATCCACGCCTTGGTGGAGGTTCCAAAAAATATTATTTTAGAAATCCACGCCTTGTTGGAGGTTGCAAAAAATATTCTTTTAAAAATCCACGCCTTGTTGGAGGTTCCAAAAAATATTCTTTTAAAAATCCACGCCTTGCTGGAGGTTGCAAAATATATTCTTTTAAAAATCCACGCCTTGCTGGAGGTTCCAAAAAATATTCTTTTAGAAATCCACGACTTGGTGCAGGTTCCAAAAATATTCTTTTAAAAATCTACGCATTGATGGAGGTTGCAAAATATATTCTTCAAAAATCCACGGCATGTTGGAGGTTCCAAAAAATATTCTTTTAGAAATCCACGCCTTGGTGGAGGTTCCAAAAAATATTCTTTTAGAAATCCACGCCTTGGTGGAGGTTCCAAAAAATATTCTTTTAGAAATCCACGCCTTGTTGGAGGTTACAAAAAATATTCTTTTAAAAATCCACGCCTTGTTGGAGGTTACAAAAAATATTCTTTTAAAAATCCACGCCTTGTTGGAGGTTACAAAAAATATTCTTTTAAAAATCCACGCCTTGTTGGAGGTTCCAAAAAATATTCTTTTAGAAATCCACGCCTTGGTGGAAGTTCCAAAAAATATTCTTTTAGAAATCCACGCCTTGGTGGAGGTTCCAAAAAATATTCTTTTAGAAATCCACGCCTTGGTGGAGGTTCCAAAAAATATTCTTTTAGAAATCCACGCCTTGGTGGAGGTTCCAAAAAATATTCTTTTAGAAATCCACGCCTTGGTGGAGGTTCCAAAAAATATTCTTTTAGAAATCCACGCCTTGGTGGAGGTTCCAAAAAATATTCTTTTAGAAATCCACGCCTTGGTGGAGGTTCCAAAAATATTCTTTTAGAAATCCACGCCTTGGTGGAGGTTCCAAAAATATTCTTTTAGAAATCCACGCCTTGGTGGAGGTTCCAAAAAATATTCTGTTAGAAATCCACGCCTTGGTGGAGGTTCCAAAAAATATTCTTTTAGAAATCCACGCCTTGGTGGAGGTTGCAAAATATATTCTTTTAAAAATCCACGCCTTGGTGGAGGTTGCAAAATATATTCTTTTAAAAATCCACGCCTTGCTGGAGGTTGCAAAATATATTCTTTTAAAAATCCACGCCTTGCTGGAGGTTGCAAAATATATTCTTTTAAAAATCCACGCCTTGCTGGAGGTTGCAAAATATATTCTTTTAAAAATCCACGCCTTGCTGGAGGTTGGAAAATATATTATTTTAAAAATCCATGCCTTGCTGGAGGTTGGAAAATATATTATTTTAAAAATCCACGCCTTGCTGGAGGTTGGAAAATATATTATTTTAGAAATCCACGCCTTGGTGGAGGTTCCAAAAATATTCTTTTAGAAATCCACGCCTTGTTGGAGGTTGCAAAATATATTCTTTTAAAAATCCACGCCTTGCTGGAGGTTGCAAAATATATTCTTTTAAAAATCCACGGCATGTTGGAGGTTCCAAAAAATATTCTTCAAAAATCCACGGCATGTTGGAGGCTCCAAAAAGTATTCTTTAAAAAATCCACGGCATGTTGGAGGTTCCAAAAAATATTGTTCTAAAAATCCACGCCTTGTTGGAGGTTCCAAAAAAATATTAATTTAAATATCCACGCCATGTTGGAGGTTCCAAGAAATATTCTTTTAAATATCCACGCCTTGTTGGAGGTTCCAAGAAATATTCGTTTAAATATCCACGCCTTGTTGGAGGTTCCAAGAAATATTCTTTTAAAACTCCACGCTTTATTGGAAGTTCCAAGAAATATTATTGTAAATATCCATGCCTTATTGGAGGCTCCATGAAATATTCTTTCAAAATATCCACGCCTTGTTGGAGGTTCCAAAAAATATTCTTTTAAAAATCCACGCCTTGTTGGAGGTTCCAAAAAATATTCTTTTAAAAATCCACGCCTTGTTGGAGGTTCCAAAAAATATTCTGTTAGAAATCCACGCCTTGGTGGAGGTTCCAAAAAATATTCTTTTAGAAATCCACGCCTTGGTGGAGGTTGCAAAATATATTCTTTTAAAAATCCACGCCTTGGTGGAGGTTGCAAAATATATTCTTTTAAAAATCCACGCCTTGCTGGAGGTTGCAAAATATATTCTTTTAAAAATCCACGCCTTGCTGGAGGTTGCAAAATATATTCTTTTAAAAATCCACGCCTTGCTGGAGGTTGCAAAATATATTCTTTTAAAAATCCACGCCTTGCTGGAGGTTGGAAAATATATTATTTTAAAAATCCATGCCTTGCTGGAGGTTGGAAAATATATTATTTTAAAAATCCACGCCTTGCTGGAGGTTGGAAAATATATTATTTTAGAAATCCACGCCTTGGTGGAGGTTCCAAAAATATTCTTTTAGAAATCCACGCCTTGTTGGAGGTTGCAAAATATATTCTTTTAAAAATCCACGCCTTGCTGGAGGTTGCAAAATATATTCTTTTAAAAATCCACGGCATGTTGGAGGTTCCAAAAAATATTCTTCAAAAATCCACGGCATGTTGGAGGCTCCAAAAAGTATTCTTTA